GGGAAGCCAACGAGAAAAACAACGGGGGGAGCCACTACTGCAGCATCTGAATTAACCACTGAGACAGAAACATCGGCTCCCACAACAACAGCAGCCCTGACAACATCTGCAGCAAGTGAAATATCAACACCTGATGGGGTGGCAACTGGGGCAGGAACTACTGAAACAACAGCTGGAGCCACTACTGCAGCTTCCGAAACAACCACTGAGCCAGAAACATTGGCTCCCACAACAGCAGCAGCCCTGACAATATCTGCAACAAGTGAAATATCAACACCTGATGGGGTGGCAACTGGGGCAGGAACTACTGAAACAATAGCTGTAGCCACTACTGCAGCTCCTGAAACAACCACTGAGCCAGAAACATCAGCTCCCACAACAGCAGCAGCCCTGACCACATCGACAGACAGAAGTGAAACATTAACACCTACTGGAGTGACAACAGAGGAAGCTATTTCTGTAACAACAGCTCGAGTAACTACTGCAGCATCTGAAACAACCACTGAGACAGAAACATCATCTCCCACAACAACAGCAGCCCTGATGACATCTGCAGCAACAAGTGAAATATCGACGCCTGATGGGGTGGCAACTGGGGCAGGAACTACTGAAACAACAGTTGGAGCCACGACTGCAGCAGTGACAACACCTGCAGAAACAATAACATCTGCTGCAACAACAGCAGCAGAAACAATAACAGCTGCCGCAACAACAACAGTGACGACACCCGATGAAACAACGACAGCTGCCACAATCATACACTTTACCACAACAGCAGACAGGACACCTGCAGAAACAACAACTCCTGCTGCAACAACAGTTGCCACAACAATAGGCTCTTCTACAATGGCAGTTATGACATCTATGGAAACAACAACAGCAGGAACAACAACAGTTGACACGACAGCAGTGCTCACAACAACTGCAGGAACAACAACAGCCGAAGTGGCAACACCTGTCAAAACAACAGTTGCCACAACAATAGACTTTACAACAATGGCAGTCACGACACCTGCAGAAAGAACAACAGACACGATTGCCACAATTGCCAAACGAGTGACTTTCAGATCTCTTCAAAGCACCTTTACAAGTGATTTGCAGGATCCTAACTCTGCAGCTTACCAAAACAGAGCAGCCATGATCAAGGCACAAGTAAGTAATATTAAAAAAAAACAAAAATGACGTCACATTATGAAATGTGATTACAGTGAAGAATTCAAACCAATGTCATTGACGCCCCAACCTCCACCCCTCTCCACAGCTTACACCGATATTTTCTGAAGCATTTCCTTCCTCCTTCGTGATCCTGATTATCATCACATTCAGGTACTTTGCTGTTGTGGTCTAACAGGTGAAATACGGAAAGCATTTACAGTTGACAAACGTTGTTTTGTGATTTCTTCTGCAGGAGTGGCTCAGTCGTCAACGTCATGGATGTTGAGTTCACAGAAACATCGACACCAAGTGACACCCAAATTGCGGAGGTCTTGTCCGATGCGGCTTCAACTGTCACTGGCTTTGACATTGAAACTGCCTCCATTACTGTTGAGTCAACAGCCATAGCTGCGTCAACGACACAATCTGCTGGAACGGCAATCGCTGCTTTGACAACCACAGAAGCAACTACACCAATGACGACAGCTACTCAGACAGCTGAACAAACCTCTCCAACGACAACGGTGGTGGTGACTTCTGCACCAACAAATGCGAACACTGATCCCACATCAGTCGCAACAACAATGGGCATGCTGACAACCCCTTCTCAGACAACAACTGATGGAACTGCACTGACATCTACCGATGTGACAACTGCCGTTGCCACAACAAGGGAGTCAACAACTCTTGTTGAAACAACTCAAGAAAAATCTGCTCTCTCAACAACATCAGGACTGTCAACAACCGTTGAGACAACTGCACAAACATCAGCTCCCACAACAACTGCAGCGTTGACGTCTGCCATCACAAGTGAAACATTAACGCCTGCTGAAGTGTCAACGGGGGGAGCAAGTGCTGAAACAACAGCTGTAGCCAAAACTACAGAATCTGAGACAAGACAGAACACTGTGGAAACATCGGCTCCCACAACTACAGCAGCCCTGACAACATCTGCAGCCACAGGTGAAACATTAACACCTGCTGGAGTGGCAACAGAGGAAGCTACTGCTGAAACAACAGCTGTAGCCACGACCGCAGAATCTGAAACAACCACTCAGACAAAAACATCGACTCCCACAACAGCAGCAGCCCTGACAACATCTGCAGCCACAAGTGAAATATCAACGCCTGATGGTGCTGCAACTGGGGCAGGAACTACTGAAATAACAGCTGTAGCTACGACCGCAGAACCTGAAACAACCACTGAGACAGAAACATCGGCTCCCCCAACAACAGAAGCCCAGACAACATCTGCAGCAACAAGTGAAACATTAACACATACTGGAGTGACAACAGAGGAAGCTACGACTGAAAAAACAGCTGTAGCCACGACTGCAGAATCCGGAACAATCACTGAGACAGAAACATCGGCTCCCACAACAACAGCAGCCCTGACAACATCTGCAGCAACAAGTGAAATCCCAACGCCTGATGGGGTGGCAACTGGGGCAGGAACTACTGAAACAACAGCTGGAGCCACGACTGCAGAATCCAAAACACCCACTGCAACAGAAACATCAGCTCCCATAACAACAGCAGCCCAGACAACATCTGCAGCCACAAGTGAAACATTAACACCTGCTGGAGTGGCAACTGGGGCAGGAACTACTCAAACAACAGCTCAAGCCACGACCGCAGAATCTGAAACAACCACCGAGACAGAAACATCGGCTCCCACAACAGCAGCAGCCCTGATAATATCTGCAGCAACAAGTGAAATCTCAACTTCTGATGGGGTGACAACTGGAGCAGGAACTACTGAAACAACAGCTGTAGCCACAACTGCAGAATCTGAAACAACCACTGAGACAGAAACATCAGCTCCGACCACAACAGCAGGCCTGACAACATCTGCAGCAACGAGTGAAATATCAACACCTGATGGGGGGGCAACTGAGGCAGGAACTACTGAAACAACAGCTGGAGCCACAACTGCAGAATCTGAAACAACCACTGAGAGTGAAACATCGGCTCCCCCAACAACAGCAGCCCTGACGACATCTGCAGGATTAAGTGAAACGTTAACACCTGCTGGAGTGGCAACAGAGGAAGCTACTACTGAAACAACAGCTGTCGCCACGACAGCAGAATCTGAAACAACCACTGAGAGTGAAACATCGGCTCCCCAAACAACAGCAGCCCTGACGACATCTGCAGCCACAAGTGAAACGTTATCACCTGCTGGAGTGGCAACAGAGGAAGCTACTACTGAAACAACAGCTGTCGCCACGACAGCAGAATCTGAAACAACCACTGAGAGTGAAACATTGGCTCCCAAAACTACAGCAACCCTGACGACATCTGCAGCCACAGGTGAAACATTAACACCTGCTGGAGTGGCAGAGGGAACTACGACTGAAACAACAGCCGTAGCCACGACCGCAGAACCTGAAACAACCACTGAGACAGAAACATCGGCTCCCCCAACAATAGCGGCCCTGACAACATCTGGAGCAACAAGTGAAACATCAACACCTGATGGGGTGGCAACTGGGGCAGGAGCGACTGAAACAACAGCTGGAGCCACGACTGCAGAATCTGAAACAACCACTGAGAGTGAAACATCAGCTCCCCCAACAACAGCAACCCTGACAACATCTGCAGCCACAAGTGAAACGTTAACCCCCTTTGGAGTGGAGACAGAGGAAGCTACTCCTGAAACAACAGCTGTAGCCACGACCGCAGAAGCTGAAACAACCACTGAGACAGAAACATCGGCTCCCACATCAACAGAAGCCCTGACAACATCTGCAGCAACAAGTGAAACATCAACACCTGATGGGGAGGCAACCGGGGCAGGAACTACTGGAACAACAGCTGGAGCCACGACTACAGAATCAGAAACAACCACTGCAACAGAAACATCAGCTCCCCCAACGACAGAAGCCCTGACAACATCTACAGACACAAGTGAAACATTAACACCTGCTGGAGTGACAACAAAGGAAGCTACGACTGAAACAACCGCTGGCGCCACAACCGCAGAATCTGAAACAACCACTGAGACAGAAACATCGGCTCCCACAACAACAGCAGCACTGACAACATCTGCAGCAACAAGTGAAACATCAACGCTTGATGAAGTGGCAACTGGGGCAGAAACTCCTGAAACAACAGCTGGAGCCACGACTGCAGAATCTGAAACAACCACTGAGACAGAAACATCGGCTCCCACAACAACAGCAGCCCTGACAACATCTGCAGCAACGAGTGAAACATTAACACCTGCTGGAGTGACAACAGAGGAAGTTACGACTGAAACAACAGCTCTAGCCACTAGTGCAGCATCTCAATTAACCACTGAGACAGAAACATCAGCTCCCACCACAACAGCAGCCCTGACATCTGCAGCAACGAGTGAAATATCAACGCCTGATGGGGTGGCAACTGGGGCAGGAACTCCTGAAACAACAGCTGGAGCCATGACTGCAGAATCTGAAACAACCACTGAGAGAGAAACATCGGCTCCCACAACAGCAGCCTTGACAACATCTGGAGCAACAAGTGAAACATCAACGCCTGATGGGGTGGCAACTGGGGCAGGAACTACTGAAACAACAGCTCCAGCCACGACCGCAGAATCTGAAACAACAACTGTGACAGAAACTTCAGCTCCCACAACAACACAAGCGCTGACAACATCTACAGACACAAGTGAAACATTAACACTTGCTGGAGTGACAACAGAGGAAGCTACGACTGAAACAACAGCTCTCGTCACGACCGCAGAATCTGAAACAACCACCGAGACAGAAACATCGGCTCCCACAACAGCAGCAGCACTGACAACATCTGCAGCAACAAGTGAAACATCAACGCTTGATGAAGTGGCAACTGGGGCAGAAACTCCTGAAACAACAGCTGGAGCCACGACTGCAGAATCTGAAACAACCACTGCGACAGAAACATCAGCAAGCACAACAACAGAAGCCCTGACAACATCTGCAGCAACGAGTGAAACATTAACACCTGCTGGAGTGACAACAGAGGAAGCTACTCCTGAAACAACAGCTGGAGCCACGACCGCAGAACCTGAAACAACCACTGAGACAGAAAAATCGGCTCCAACAACAGCAGCCTTGACAACATCTGGAGCAACAAGTGAAACATCAACACCTGATGGGGTGGCAACTGCGGCTGGAACTACTGAAACAACAGCTCTAGCCACGACCGCAGAATCCGAAACAACTACCGAGACAGAAACATCGGCTCCCACAACAGCAGCAGCCCTGACAACATACGACCGCAGAACCTGAAACAACCACTGAGACAGAAAAATCGGCTCCAACAACAGCAGCCTTGACAACATCTGGAGCAACAAGTGAAACATCAACACCTGATGGGGTGGCAACTGCGGCTGGAACTACTGAAACAACAGCTCTAGCCACGACCGCAGAATCCGAAACAACCACCGAGACAGAAACATCGGCTCCCACAACAGCAGCCCTGACAACATCTGCAGCAACAAGTGAAACATCAACTCCTGATGTGGTGGCAACTGGGGCAGGAACGACTGAAACAACAGCTAGAGCCACGACTGCAGAATCAGAAACAACCACTGCAAAAGAAACATCAGCTCCCCCAACAAGAGAAGCGCTGACAACATCTACAGACACAAGTGAAACATTAACACTTGCTGGAGTGACAACAGAGGAAGCTACGACTGAAACAACAGCTGTAGCCACTACTGCAGCATCTCAATTAACCACTGAGACAGAAACATCAGCTCCCACCACAACAGCAGCCCTGACATCTGCAGCAACGAGTGAAATATCAACGCCTGATGGGGTGGCAACTGGGGCAGGAACTCCTGAAACAACAGCTGGAGCCATGACTGCAGAATCTGAAACAACCACTGAGAGAGAAACATCGGCTCCCACAACAGCAGCCTTGACAACAACTGGAGCAACAAGTGGAAC